CCTGGCTGGCAACACCCCTGGCACCCCGCACCCTCCGCAGGGTGCTGGTACCGCACCGGGTGTCATGAGAGCCACGGGGTGCAGTGCCACCGCCCCTGCTGTCGCCCACACCCAGCGCGGCATGACCCACTTCCCGGCAGGCGCCAATGCACAGACCACGCTCGCACCGCCGGGCCGTGGACGGGCAGACAGGTGGGCACTGCCCACCCATCGCCTGGGTCCCTTTGGGTGGGTGTCACCCCAGGGGGGGGTCCCTCTGCAGGTCTCCTTCACCCGGGGTGTCCCCATGCTGGTGTAGCAACCTGGGTGTCCGTGTGCAGGTGTCCCTGGCCCTCCCTGACTGTCGCTGTGGGTGCGTGGGGATGGCTCTGTGTGTCCTGGCCGTCCCTGCTCAGGTGCCCCTGTGGTCCCTCCCCAGGGGTCTCTGAACATCCCCACGTGGTCCTCATCCACTCGCAGGTGTCCCTGGGGTGTCCCTGTGTGGTTCCTGTCTGTGTGTCCCTGACCAGGGCTGGCGGTCTCGGGGGTGTCCCTGCGTGCCTGTCCCTCTCTAGCTGCTCCAGGGCTGTGTCCCTCTGCAGGGTACCCCCCCCGCTGTCCCCCAGCAGACAGGGAGGGCAGAGCCCTGTCCACACCCTGCAGGGGATTACAAGGGGCTCAGCCCGGCTCTGCCTAATCCCAGGATTACATGGGCTGGGCCTGGCCAGGAGATGGGGGGGGGCACCCAGGGGTGCCCCCCTCAAGGACACGCCACGTGGCAGCTGGGGACAGCAAGGGGGGGCTCCCTGGCAGCATCCACCAGCACTGCCAGCTTCAACACGTACCCCAACACATCACCACGAGGTGGCTGGGGGGGGCGAGGGAAGTAAACCAAGGCCTCCAGTTTATTGGGGTGACGGGGAGTGGGGGGCTCAGGCGGTGCCGGTGCCCTGCTGCATGCGCTTGAGGAGCTCCTCGTCCTGCAGCGACAGCTCCGTCAGCTTCTTGCCCATCCTCTCGTGGACCTCCAGGTACTTGGCCACGCAGCGGTCCAGGCACACGCTCTCCCCCTTCGACAGCTCCGCGTCCTTGTAGTGGGGGGGGACGCACTTTCGGTGGCACGCCTGCGTCATCCTGCACAGCACCCGCACCCTCAGCCCCCCACCGACCCCGCCACGCACAGCCCCGGGCACCCGCGCCCCAGCACTCCCAACACCTCTTGTGCCCCAGTGTCATCGCCATCCCCCGGCACCCACAGTGCTCCCCAGTGTCCCCCATCCCAGGCAGCCCCATGGCCTCCCCATTTCCCAGGCAAACCCCCAGTACCCCCAGCAC